TAAATACAAATAAATAAAATTAAATTAAATTAAATTAAATAAAACATAAATAAAATTTGATTATAAATAAAAAATAATATAAAAAATAAATAAAATAAAATAAACAATAGTTAAAATAGTTCTTCCTAATATTGTAATATTATTTCAGTATATTTCAATTTCAAGTTAAAAACAAAAGTTTGGAAACGTTCAGTGATTTCTATATTTACCACCGTCACTTGAAGCGTACATCGGCCGCAATGAAATTACAGTCCTCCTCAAGTCTACTGTATCTAATAACTAATCTGAATCCATCAGACGAGATATATTTACATCTGCCACACTGAAAAAAGTGTGTTCCAACATGGCCTGTGCATACAAATACAAATTACACAGGCAAAACCCCAACATATGGCAACACAGCCACCCTAATTAAACGTTTGAAACCCATCTGTGTGTATGCGTCTGAACCGCTGCGTGATTCAGATTTAGAGGCGAGCATTTTCAGAGGCACGCACTTTTACAGATGTAGCGGCACAGAAACATTACATGCTCGCCGTTAGCTTTTCTCCCCATCGAAACCAAAACTGGCGCTCTGATGTGCACATGCATCAGGCAAATTGAGCTTTACAGCTCGGCCACAGACGCTACTAAATCCTGCTAAATGCAGTTAGAGGCTCAGACGCAGGGTGAACAGCGCCATTTGCTCCCTGTCCACAAAATGACCCTTTTTTTGGGGAGGGGGAGAGCTAAATGAATACGAATAGGCAGATATTGGAGAAGCGGAGAGGAAGAGTAATGGTCAGGACACGGACGGATCAGTAAGGTTGACCTTATCATTCCTGCAGCGGAGCTAATAGAAAGAGAAAAGCAGGAGAGAGAGAAACATGGAGAATCATTCAGAAGTGGGATATATGTCATGCTCACGGGCCCTCCATTATGAGTTATATGTTCTTTATTAATAAAATTTACCTAAAATTAAACTAAAACCTTTTTCCTTTTAGTATTGATGTCATTTATATGTTTTAATAGCAAATATCGAATGTGAAAACATTAAAAACTTA